AGTACACAGAACCCTTTTTCTGTTCTTTCAAATGATTCCCTCGTTCCTGGTTTTGGCTTGTTATCGATTTTTTTTGTTGCCACTGCTAAGAATGAATAAAACTTGTGGCTGTTTTGGTTATTATGGTGGTTGAAGTACATCCTTAAGTAAGAAATAACCTGTACCTTCAGTTGTTCCATGTTTATAGCATGTTGTTTACTTGGGGTGGGAATGTAGGTTGCCACCAATATGTATCGGGTTCATATATTTCCATTGTAAATTTGAAATAATTTTAAAAACTTTAATGGAGGAAAAGTGCGGGTGTCCTTGCATTGTGGACCTCGTCTTCTATATTATGGTCTTGTTTAACTGTCTATTGTGTAATTGGAAATGTGTTTCTTCAGTGGCTTTTTTCTTTCTCATTGTTCAGACAAAGGCTGATTATGACAAGGAATGTAAGATCTGCAAACGGCCTTTTACCGTCTTCAGATGGAGGCCTGGACGTGATGCAAGGTACAAGAAGACAGAGATCTGCCAGACATGCTGTAAGCTGAAGAATGTCTGCCAGGTGTGTGTCCTTGATCTTGAATATGGTCTACCAGTTCAAGTTCGGGACACTGCCCTCGCTATCAATTCTAATGATGCCATCCCAAAGAGTGATGTGAATAGAGAGTATTTTGCTGAAGAACATGACCGCAGGGTATGATAGTCACTTTTTTTGTTCCTTTGCTTGCCATTCACATCAGATTATTTTGTTTCAGTTTTCTTATGTGGAGTGTGTGTTTGTTTCTCTGCCTGGCCAACACTGGTGTGTTTGTTTTCTAGTGCTTTTTATTCATTCACCTGGACTCCATGTCATGTATGCTTTATCAATGTTGTTTACTGTACCTATTGCTTGCAGTGTACTTTATTATCTGCTTTTCTGGTACAAGTGGATTTTTGTAAACATTTACCTTGTTTAATTGTAGTGGCTGGTAGAATAGCTAACTTGTGGGGTATAAATAGTCAACTTGAATTAGACCTTTTTATAATTTTGATTCATTGGCTGGCATTTGGGATTAATCTAGTTGTGTGAAAGTTCAAGCACTTCCAGAAAACAGAAAGTCCTTAAAACAGATTAGTTGATTTAATTTGACTCAGTAGAATACATGAGTATTTTTCATGTCCGTCCACATCATGTCTTCAAAGCCCAAAGGGGTTTTCCTGTAGATTTAAGTCCTTTTATGATGATCAAGCCTGATATGCAAGTTGAAGAACTGAAAACAAAGGGAGAGATCTTAGATTACTTGGGCATCCCTTTGTTCTTTTCAGTTGGTAGATTAGAAGAGAAATGTAACTGAAGGGTGGAATGGAACAAGTCTTGGCACCATGTTAAGGTTGCTTCTTATCAATTGGGTTGACCAAGGTTCAAATCGTCGAAACAGTCTTTGTATTTGTAAGGGTAATGTTGCTTATGTTGATCCTTCAAGTCAGCAACGGCAAAAGCCTAGTGTATCAGGTTGTGCATCCTTTAGAAAGAAACATAGTGACACATAAGAATAAGTCATGATGTAAGTTTATGATTTAAATAAAAAATGAAAAAATGAATCAGTAATTTGGTTTCTAAAATCAGTTAATACCAAGGTAGACAATACCGAATGATACCGCCCGGTATGGGCGGTATGTACCGGTCCGACGGCATACCGGTATGCAGACCGCCCACTACCGAGCGGAACAAAAAATAATTATATATATATTAGAAAAAGGCGATGTTCGGCGACATCGCCTTTAAAAAAAAAATATATATATATATATATATAAATAAATAAAATTATATATATATATATATAAACGAGGTGACGTCGCCAAAGCGACGTCGTCCCGCCTGGGAGAAGAGAGAGGCGACGTCGCTGAGTTATATATATATATGTATATATATATATATATATATACCGAGCGGTATACCGCTCAGTATATCACTTGGTATACCGTTTCGTACCGTACCGAACGAACGTCGAAACGTCGGTACGGTACGATATTACGAACCTTGGTTAATACAACTGTAACTAGTTAGTAAATTAGCTAATTAACAACTTAATTTATTCATAAATAGGATGCAAGCTGGAGTTGAGCCCATAGTTCTGCTCTAAACAGCTTACTGCAGATTGTCTTCTCATCAGCTGCCAATATTGCTTCTTTGCTTGCATTTTTTGCTTCTTAATAATCTCGCTACTATGTTACGCATATATTTATTGCTTGTTTTTGTGGTATTAGCTAGTGATATGTTATTCTTTGTTCTTGTCACACCAATCCAACAGTATATTGTCCCTACTTGTTGTTTGTGTTAGTCTCTGCTGAAATTTTCTTTTTACAGGCCAGAGCTGGCATAGATTACGAATCTTCGTATGGAAAAGTGCTTCCAAACGACACCATCTTAAAGCTTCAAAGGACAACACCATACTATAAAAGAAATCGAGCCCATGTTTGTAGTTTCTATTTGCGTGGTGAATGCACTCGTGGAGCTGAATGTCCATATCGACATGAGATGCCTGAAATTGGTGAATTATCTCAGCAGAATATAAAGGATAGATATTATGGGTATGTATACTGGCTAACTCTATGTTTAATGTAAGCAATAATGCAGCACAAGTGGAGAAAATTTATCTGGAAGTCAACACAATCGATATCTACATTACCAATAATTTACCTATTCAAGGCATCAATTGCTGGCTTTTTACAAATCAAAATGGCAGCAAAAAATTCATATAGCCGACTTCAAATAGTTGGGACTTATAGTTTTATTATTGTTGTTGTTGTTGTTGCTAGGTCTCAATTGCCATGGTACAGTGGTATAATGCCTGGTATGTGCCAACTTGATTTGGTATTAGTGTGCAGTTTTACCATGTTATTAGACCAGTATATGTTTCATTAGGCCTATTGATGGGTCATTTCACTAGTTATTTCTAGTCAATTGGAGTAAATTGCAGTCTTTGCTATATCTATATTATACTTCTAATATTTCAGATTGTTTTCCGTTATAGCAATCTGCATCATGATGTTATTTGTGGTACTTTCATTGTCAAAAATTCCCTTTAAAACAAAAGATATGATAGAAAAATATTAGAACCAGATATGTTGATTTAGGTACAATCTCTACTAAATAGAGGTTTGTTGCATTTCTTATCCAGTTTATCCTGTGGGATTTGCCTTTTTGTAGTACATGATTCCCGGGGATAGCAAGTGTTTCTAGTTTAGGTTTAGTTTGCTCTAGAGAATGGTTAGGGATTTCACTTTTCAAGTAGAATTAAGTATATAGCATCTGAATCAGGAGTTTGTTCAGGCAGCACTGCATCATTCCATCTGCAATTTGCATTCTCACTCTAGTCTGTAGAGACCTATTTAGTTCGAGCGACATTTTTTATTTTCTTTTGAACAGATGAATTGATTGTAATGACATTCTTTTTCTTGAATTCAGAGTGAATGACCCTGTTGCTCAGAAGCTTTTAAGCAAGGCTGGTGAGATGCCTTCTCTAAATCCCCCAGAGGATGAGAGTATAAAGACCCTATATGTTGGTGGCCTAGATGCCCGTATTTCCGAGCAGGATCTGAGGGACCACTTCTATGCCCATGGTGAGATCGAATCCATCAGGATGGTGCTCCAGCGAGCATGTGCATTTGTAACTTACACAACAAGAGATGCTGCTGAAAAAGCCGCAGAGGAACTTGCTAACAAGCTTGTCATAAAGGGTCTCAGATTAAAGCTGATGTGGGGAAGACCACAGGCCTCAAAACCAGAGGGAGAGGCACAGGATGATGATGCCGGAAGACAGGGGGTTGCCACACATGCCGGGCTGCTTCCAAGGGCTGTTATATCTCAGCAGCAGAGCAACCATCAGCCACTACCACCTGGCACCGAGAACCACCAGCAGCCACCCCTCAACTACTTCAACATTCCTGCACCACCGCAAGCTGCACGGACATTCTACCCGTCCACCGATCCTCAAAGAATGGGTGCGCTAGTCCCGACACAAGAAGGTAGCAACAACAAAAACGGGTCGGAGAAGCAGCCAGAGCAGCAAGCACCAAATCTTCACGGGCATGCTTTTCCCATGGCTCCTCCACATCCCCAAGGGAGTCAGTACCGGCCGCCATATTATCCACCATACGGGTACATGGCCCCACTGCCACCGCCATATCAGCAGTACCCTCCATACCCACCGATGATGGCTCCACGACCGCCACCACCATCTGCACCACAACCTGCAGTGCAGCAGTACACTCAAGGCCCTCCTGGACCATCTTAGAGTTGACATCCCTTTGTTTGTGAATCTTCTTCTTCTTCTATATCACTGTCGATGAAGGATTCAAATGGATTATGAACTTGTATTGAGCTTAAGTGCAGTGTGCATCAAGAAGGTTTTTGAGGTTGGTTGTGAAGGAAGCATGCAGGAACTATTAAGCTTGTGTTGTCACCACATTGGGCAAGTCGTCCATGATATGATCACCAGACCTGCATTCAAAACAAGGTTTTATATCTCGATCCATTATTGGTATTATAATCTACGGACCAATATAGTACGTTAATGACTCTGTATCAGAAGATCATGTTCAATATTAACCGGTTTTTGAAACCTTCAGTATTTATCGCCCACCACAGACTTTAGTTGTTGTTGAGCCACTCTCTCTCTCTCTCTCTCTCATGAATTGGCAGTACTTCACTGTTCAGCGAACTGATGCCACAAAATTCCCAGGCAAGACAAGCCCAATGTGCTGTACCATTTCAACATCAATCATCTTTAAAATGAAATATATTAACTTTTTTAGCTGATAAATAATTCTGTGTTCACCACTTGTCTTTGCATCGAAAATAGGAAAAAATTAGTTCAAGTAAACAAAGAGAATGTTGTGGTTGAGTTGGCGAGGAAACCAGCTCAATCGCCTATTATCAGATCTGTTGAAGCAAATGAAAGCTCCCCGAAACCACCGGGGAGAAGTGGGAACTGCAGAAAAAATCACCTGCGCCATGCAATTACCAGACTCTGTTTGCCCCAAAAAAGAAACTAAGTTTAAACTTGAACTACCAATAATGTTGTACATGGAGGCACTAAGTGGGAATGCATCCGTCAACATTCTACAATGCCTAACATAATTCCAGAGCATGTCGGGCACCAATGTTTCACTGCAGCAGTAATACTTCCTGCACAGTGCATCCTAAAGGCAACCATGTGGTGAATACATATAACAAAATCTGCAGTCAGTAGTCTACACTGTATCTGCCCCTGCCTAAAATTTGCTGACATTCAAAAAGGTCACAATGCCACAAAGCTATGAGGGCGACGATGCCACAGCCTCTCGAACACCATCTCCCATCATATGCATCAAAGGTATCAGCACAACAAACTGGAAAAGAAAGACCCAAATCACAAGTTAAAAATCATTCATCAAATGTGCACTTCTTTCAAAAATTTACAATCTAGAATTTACAACACTAAGAGCTTGATCAGAACATGCACATATCTTTAATTTTAAATCTAGCGTCCACCCTACCATTAATTTTTCTCAATGAAGGTAAATTAACCTAGTAGTTCTGTTGGTAATGCTGACCAACATTTGGCAATCTCGATACTAAATTAAGATTATTGTTCTATAGTAAGGATCAAGATAACCCACAGTACCTGAATTATTCATCTTAGTGTAAAACAAGTTCACTAATATTAAACAAATAAAGAGACTGAGCCACAGCCGATAGGCCTCTTTTGACAGCCAATCTTTGTGCCCTGATCATGATGTACTAGGGTTTGAAGGCCTAAAAGAACACAGGAGGGAGACACAAGATGTTTTCAAATAGGAAATTCTTTAATGGAGACCAAATCCATATGTTTTCTATTTTCTTCAATGAAATTACTAAAAATAAGGTAATATATTGGACATGAAATTTTCTAATAGAAGTTCTAGCTGTAACCCGAAGGCAATTGTCTAACTCGATTCCTTCTGACTACCTCCCAAGGCTTTCAGTCCGCGTGACCTCTGCTTGGGAAGGAAATTAATGTGGCAGCAATACAGATGCCTCTAAACAATGAAACATGCTGATGATAGCAAATATACAAAAGCTACAAGACGAATTAGCAATGACTAGTTTCATGGTTTCCCACAAGAGCTGGCTATGAGCCGACGGAAGCCCTGGCGAAGGCCAGCTTTCTTTAGGCTTTTGTGTCATCAACCCAAATAGTCTTTTGGTCTGACATGGTCTCAGGTTCTGATCATGCTCACCCAGAATCACATAAATCAGTCCCAAGATGTCTCACCCATTACTTATCCTAATGTCATTGATCTTTCTACACTTCGCAGCCCTTCTAACCATTGTCATTGTTTGTTTTACAGCGACAACCTTGATATTGCAGCTAGAGGAGCTCCACCAATGGAGGATGACACCCCTTTAATGGTCTATTATGCCATCAAAGGCAGAGAAGCCAAGAAAGGAAGGCAGTGGAAGCAACCTCAACCAAGTGAAAACATTTACGCAAACTCTGATGTCATCATTGAGGTCCAAAGAAAGAGGATGATTATGGTGCCAGTAGAATTTTTCAAAATTTCCATATATGACTCTGATACTGAAGGCACTCCACTGAGAGTTAAGATAACTTCCAGGAGGACTGATGATAGGTTGGCCGTGAATGATAAAATGCATCATTCTAATATTTCCCTCGTGGTGGCTGGATGGACAATGAAGGGACTGCAAGGTACAGGCCTGTACCAAGCACTGAGCTTTTATTAAGTTTGACATGACAGGCTGAACCAGATGCCATATCATATGGGCCAAGCTTAAACCCAACTCCCAGCCCAACCCTTATAGACATAAGGAGAGATATTGTAGCACATCAGTATTTGTGTTTTGTACATGTTTTGACTCCCATGATTATCAAATGGCATATCAAGGTTCTTCCATATATTAAAACATACAGCAAACATATCACTGCTGCTCTGACTTCATTTGTCTAACTAATTGGAATATAGTTTTGAGTTCAAAAAGACATAATTAAGAAAAAAGCATTCTTAAATAATAAATTACAACATTTGGGAAGAATGCCATAGCAAAATATGAAGGTATATACGGTAATTGAAAGTTTATCCTATTTTATGATGCTTTGACATCTGAAAATATATTCTGATACAAACAAATGTAAGCTTTTATCATTGGAGTTGCATGTTTGTTCTGTTCCCTAATTTTACTCCTACTGCATTTTACCTTATGAAGATGCAAGATAATTAAATAGAGTATGTTAACGTGTGACCTTAAGTTGCTAATTATACAATGTCAAGAATTCTAGATGACTGAGGTAATGAGTACAGTATCTTTGAGCAAGTTGTACCCATAAAAATCAAATTTACAATGGTGAACTTATAGGTTGTAGCTAATTTCAATCACCTCCCCACAAGGACACAAAACCCCTCATTCCTATCCTAAAACAATATCCTCCCCCGAATGCAGTTATCTTCATCGTGATCAGAAAAGGTGTCACATGTCATCCATCAGGGAAGAGCTTGAAATGGAAACTAGTCAGGAAGGAGGGAAAGATCAGCTTTTCTAATAAAATGTGTACCCATTTATTTATAAAGCATATTCCCTGTTTACAATGTATTAAAAAATCCTACCAGCTCATTATCAAGTCTTCTTGAACTCATATGTAGATAGCAATCCAACTGACTAATTAGATTTTTCAACAACATGAGGCAAAAAACAAAGTCAATAATCGCCATAAATAAAATTACAAGGATAATGCGAGACAATGAGGTGACTACTTATTTATCTAGTTCAGCAAGATTACCAAGATGCATGATAATCACCGGAGAGAACAAACAACAGAAAGCAACCCCTAACCTTGAGAGCAGGTAGATGCTTATGTAAATAATGTTGCTCAAAATTAGCCAAAATAGCCTTGACAATTTGGAGATCCACACAGGCACTTCTTAGCTCTCTGCGATATAAAGCCAGTTCCAATTTTCTGTTGACCAGCTTCATCTCCATGCAGACCATAATCATATGTCAGTTCAGTCATGGGAGGAATGTGTTTGATTGCAAAGAACATTATATGTGGATAATCTTCATCACCATGATCATATAGAACTGGTTGCCAAAAGACATTAGGCGAGCAGCTATGATTCATAAAACGTGCTATGTTTCCTGAATTCTTTGCACTTATCGTAATAGGAAATGGTCTAAACACCTCATTTGAGTTATTTATATCTGGATCTTCTAGTAACTCAGGCCCACAATTCCATCTGGAAGCTTTCTCACCAAGATATGTCGCTTGAAAAATATACTCATCTTCTTCACCATCATCTTCAACTCTGGTTTTACTGATAACCTCGCCTGCATATTCACAAATGAATGTACCTGCCCTGATAGGGTCCCAGGAACGTAGACCCCAACCCCGGTCCTTTGTCCTGAAAACTTCAAAGTGGAGCCTAATTCCCTTTTGGGTCACCCTATTTCGGCAATTAAAAGAGCATTGACAAGAAACACTGCACTCATAAATCAGAGGCTTCCGTCTCACAAGAAGCCCCATCGAATTATATGGTAAATCACCATCATTTTGTTGTGCACAAAAGCAGTTGGTATCACCAGGGAGACACACACTAAGGCACATGCAACCCTCTAAAGGCTTCTTTGAGATAGTATGACACAAATGTTTAACGGTGGTTACATATACAAAATGGTTTGGACCTCTCTCATCATCAACATCATTGATAAGGCAAACAGGTATGTTTTCTGCACCTGATGATATGTCAGGCAGTATGACTCTGCCTCTAGATGATGGGTTCTCTTTCCATTTCTGGATCATTTTCCATACCACAATTCCATCAGGCTGCCCTGGTTCTCTCAGCAACTTGTACTTGAAAATATTGAATCCTGTCTTACCTTTCTCGACCCATGAGTCATCAATCTTATAAAGACCATCATAGATGTATATTTTGCCAGTTGGACAGCTAACATCTTTGGTACTACGTACAACCCGGATCTGATTCTTCCTGTGCAAGCTTCTTTCGAGAGCAAGGTTACCCCTTTCCAGTTTCTGGTCATCTGGTTGCTTCTTATCATGCTTACCACTACCTCCCTGGCCGCTGTAAATTAAAACATCGACATCATCATCTTCATTCTCATAACCACCAGCCGAGACAATACAAATGGCAACAGGCTCATCTTTGTCAGAAAAACTAGCTGTCATGTAATCAATACCGGCCATACTAGGAGCATGCAATCCAATCAAGCACATCTCAAACCTAAAATAGAAAATATCCCCAATTTCAACTCCTGGGACAAGTCCGATCCTCTTTCCTGCATTAGCCTTGAGATCCTTACCAGACATGATGGCCCCAGCCTTCAGATCTTGGCGCCTGTTTACATCTTTTGCTTCATCCAACTGCAGAAGCCTCCTACGAAGTGCATCATAGGTCATGAGGACAATCTCCACAGACTCCCTGGGGTGGTTTGATGAAGAGGACAATAGGGGAAGCTCAGTGTTCAGACTCTTATTAGGTCGTTTGCGCTTGACATCTGTCCCTGAGCTGCCCGCCTGGTTGCTACTTCGGCGTCCTGCCCTCTTAGTCTTTCTGCCTGATGCTGGCATATTGTCATCAAGAGAAGGGTCCTCATCCTCATCTATGGAAACATTGGTCGCTGATGGTGTCCAAAATGTACCGGAGGTTGGTGTCTTGGCAGAAGTGGAGAATGGAGAGGCCCGCAGAGAGCCATTAGCACCAGGCGTCATTGCAACATGAGCATCTACAACACGAGTAGCAAAAGAGACAGGGTCAGGGTTTGATGGCTTTTGGTTGGGAGCTTCGTGAAAGCTGAAAGGGGGGAACGCCGGTGGGACTCCTGAAGGATATGATGAATCAGAGCCAGCAGGGGATGAGCCAAAGGGGGTGACACAAATAAAGGGTGGGACAATTGACTGTGTAATAGCATTGAAGCCGAATGGTGCAGGGAACATCGGAGCCAAAGATCGTAGTGGTTTCACATCCAAGACCCCATTTTCACTGGACGAAGGAGTGCAATTGGAATGCCTTTCCATGGCAAACAAAACACTGGAAGCTGCAGAACAAGAAGAACCAATTTAATGAAGTACTCAGGTAATTTCCCTTCTCTTTATAACAGCATGAACTACTATAAAGAACAAAATAAGCTACAAGCACGCCAAATCAGGAGTAAGAAAGAACTAATAAAATAACAGCGAGGCAAAACATCTTAGCGATCTTTGAACAAGCCAAGGAAAACCACGAAGTTCATCAAAATCGAACTTCGAAAAGCTAGGAAGAAAAAGTTCCTTTTTCCTAACAGAATGAACTACTATGAACTCGATTAAGAAGTGCAAATAAGCCAACATCACTTAAAGAATACAAAGGAAAAGAAAACAAAACAAAAAAAGGTTCTTTATCCAACTTCAGAAGAGGCAAGACTGCTTTTGGAGCGGAGACATACTTGCAGCTATATGTTTAGAAGCTAACAAGCTATGACAAAGGGAATAAAAGAAAAACAAGCTAAAAGCATTTGACAAAAGACATCAAAGCAGTAGAAGCAGCAAAGAATTAACAAAAGAACAACTACGAAAACCCTTCAGGGATCTTCGAGCAAGCCAACGGAAATCCCAGAAGTCGATCAAAATCGAATCTTGAAAAGCTCGGAAGCACAAAAAGCACAACTTGCCGCAACGACACAAAAGAGAGCTCACAGATTCGACAGCGGAAGCAGATTCCTCGACCAAATCTCTCGCTATAATAGTGGTCCAAGACAGCAGCAAACTGGGAGAAAAAGGGACACTAATCGAAGAACCGATTACCGATAACAACCAGTAGCAAGGTCAAGGATCGTAGGCTACGGGTAGAGATGCAGCAATCCTCACAGACCTCGGGCGGTCTCGGCTCCTCTTGCTCGCATCTCTCTCTTCGCCTTGTGCACCTGGAGGTCTGGGAGCGGGGTTTGGTCGCTCGGTTCCCCCTGCGCATCTTTATTGTTCTCCTCTTGTCGGAACCTAAACGGAGCGTGAGAGGAGGGCGAAAAAGGTAGGGACCACGTCCGTGCTATCGTGGCAGCCCCGGCAGCCCTTAGATCTTCTCGGATCCTCGTTTCGATAGCGAAATGGGGAAGCGGACGTCGACCCAAAACATACCCAAGCGATCCCAGCCGTCGAATCGTATCTGCTGCAAGAACAAAAATTAAGGTTAAGACATAAAGTAATATTTTGACCATAATAGAAGGTTCAATTTTAGGCAATTTTAGCAAATTCATGTGGCAAATATGATGTATTATATTGATCTTTTTTTGTCAAAATATGCACATGAACTCATTTGAACTGATTCCAATTTCTTTTGACAAAATTCAATCCCAAGATCTTATTATTGACAGTCAAAAGTTGAGATATTCTCAAAATTAATTGGATAAGATTTGAAATAGTTAACTTTTGATAAGTAAATCTAATGCACCACATCTCTCTCCCTTCAATTTATAGTCACAAGATCACAGAAGTGAAATTCTAGTCACCATGCAAAAGAATATATATGTTAGCATTTGTAAGCACCATCAATGAAGTCCCAATATCTCAGTGTCTTTTTATGCATACACCAGCTGAATCCCATAGTGTGAAACCACAATTGGAAACTCTACAAATCATGGACATGAAGACAATGTCAAAGCTGATTTATATTTTAGAGGAATTTCAAGGAGAATTCCAACTTCCATTAGCTTTAATTATAGTAAAGAGAAGTAAGAAAGTGATTTTATTTTTCTAATTGGATGAAAATATTTCAATTAGCCATCCAACAACTGCAAACTATACAACAGATGAAGATAAAAGAGCTCATGACACATGGTTTCACGTTGATATTGGTGGGAGGATGACAACATATGTATAAGAATGCAGATGCTTTGACCTTTCTTCACATCTGGCTCTATGGTATTATCATCTTTGGATTTGGAAGAACTTCAATTAATTTGCTCACCACTTGCCAGGCGTCTCTTCTCTTCTTCTACTTGCTCGAGCAATGCCTCCAGTTCAGCTTCAGTAAGTCCCTCTAAACGTTTCTGGAATTTAGGAAACTTTCGTCATTTATCTCGTAAAAGAAATTTATCAATTGTCATTTTATACAGTCATGTAAATCCCATAGGATCTTGTAAAATTTCTCTAAGACACTAATGGGGATCAATGTTCCAAGATAAATTTGAACAAACATATTCTTGGTATTGAAAATTATAGTTTTACCTTGATATAAAAAGCAACACTCTTTGCTAATGTCTATGGACCAAAACCAAATTTTTCATAGTTTTAACTTAATTCAGACATAAATTCCCTTTACACAACTTCTCATATAAACATGTTTATAGAATAACTTTTTCTTTTTCATAAAAGTCTTTCTATAATTGGATTCCTTGTCATCCAAGAATACTGGTTTTAGGAATCAAAAAACACTTACCAACTCCAATACCTCAAATACCAAAAGCACCTTGTACTCTCACTTACTGCAAGTCTTGGGTGTGCATTTTCATATTCATAGAGTAACATCACAACTTTAGAAATTTGACATGGATTCGTTTTATTTTCAAGCATTTCAAGAATACCATTATCAATCTCAAATAGATATGCAAACTCAAAAGAGAAATTTACATCCAAAATGTCAAAGTACAAAAGAAACAGACGTAAAAGACAACCATTTGTGAGATCAACTTGGAGGAAATAGTTTTCTGAACTTAAGGAAGCATTACTGACCTCCATGACTTTCTTTTCATAGTCTCTTAACTGCTGAGCATAAGTCATATCTTTGTTTGCAACTCTAAACATGTATGTAGAAATCCATCCAACTGTTAGGCCCAGGACAATAAACAATTGAACCACATTCCCTGCTTGCAAAGGATCAACCCCAGCAAACTGAAGCAAATGAAAAAGATAAGATTAAAAAAATTGCAGCATGGTAGTTCTTATACAAAGTAACAGATGTCATCTGTGTGTGCTAATAAGAAGATTAGATTCTCCACAATCTCATTAACTTTTTCCTTACTTCGTCAAGGTTCCAGTCTTCCAGATAAGTTCTACCAACTTCTCATCTAAAAAATATGGTTGCATAGATTGGATAACCTGATGGAGAAACTGAGTTGAAGAATTAGCATTACCTCCAGTCCACTTTTTAAACCAATGCCTGCTAAGGTGACTCCAAGACCAATCAGTAAAACATCCTTTCTTGTGTATCCAAATGGAACCTGCACAAAATATTAAGTCTAAACATCACTTTCACCAACCTTTCATCTCGAAGAGCTGATTAATCAATCAGAGTCTACAGCAAAGAAAATTACATGGTGGGATAATGACTGCTTATTCAATGAAATCCTGGTGGGAAAGATCCAAGGTGGGAAACCTCTAAGGTGATATATAAAGAGGAGAACAGCTAGACATGTATCTAGTATAATGGCTAAATGACCAAATAGAAAACTGGCATTAGCACAAACAGGAAGAGAACTATACCAGCTTTAGAAGTTATCCATGGTACATCTGAGACCAATCATTTTTCTTACTAACACGATCTTGCATAATGCTCACTGATTTTCTCCTAAACCAATTTTTCCTTATTGCTTTGTATAAGATTTAGGGACTAAAATTAACCTTTGCTCATGTTCACATGTTTATATATGTCAATGTTGGGCAGCAATAGGACCACAATTTGGAAAAGGTGTCAAAATTTAGAAGCCAGCATTTGCGAGGAAGTAGACATCTTTTTTTTCCATAATACTGTAGCATGGGATCAAACATGGAAAAATCTTCAAGGAAGAATTGACATAACCCGTTCTCACCTTCAGCGAACTAGAAAAAGGTCCTAAATAAATGATCAGATTGTTGCATCCTCACATTCCATCTGCTTGGTCAGGAGGATACAACACCCTCGTGTCAAAGAGAATATTTTGAACATGAGGTTGAATCACTCAATTGGCATTGTGAAATGAAAGAAGAAATCAGTTTTGCTCTATAGAAGATGTACCCAGTCCATGAAGAACTTCCCAGATGTCAAATATTATACCCAGCCTGGAAGAGTTTTGTAAACATGAGATTTAGTTCACATTTTTCACAATATTTGCATCAGTTCGAAGTATTTGCACAGCTGGATTCATTCTAGGTTATTTCAGTTGCTCTGTCAGACTTTCATGCCTATTTGTTCATTTTTTGAGAAAAGATGTGGGAGTGACTACATGTTTATGATACGTGGTGTTTTCTTCCAACAGAAAAAAAAATCAGATGCATTAACAGCCTATTGGCACTAAACACTATAATATGCATCTATTGTGCAGCATACCTCCTCTTTGTCTGATGGCTTTAAGTCATCTGGATTCCCTCCTGAGGATGATGAACCAGTGCTTCTGGGAACCCCAGAGACCATTCTTCTCCTATTCAATCTGGAAAGCTCTCTTTTTAAATAAGTGACACTCTTGGCCCCATACGTATTTTGACAGCCAACTGCAGCAGCAGAGCATCAGCTTCTTTTAGGCTTTTAAATGTCAACTGATGGCATAAGTCCATCTAATCAATGAATTCTTGCTTTATATTCAGTTCTAAGTTCTAACTACAAGTAACAAATGTAGCTGATAAAAGGTAACTCTTAACTATAAAAAACAGCATCATATGGAGAAAAGCAAAGCAACTAATATGTAGAAACAAGGTTGCCTGGGTTATTCCCCCATTATTTCAGTTGAAAGTTCGATTCAGAAAAAATATAATACAGCCATGGACTAGACTGAAATAGGATATGATAGTTCAATACTACAAAAACTTTATTTATGACCACTTAAAAAGAGCCACACTATAGCAAAATGCTCATTCTCAGACATCAAATTTATTTTCTTAAAAATAAAGCAAACATCACTCCATTTGGACATATAATTTTACTAACATATGAAGGTACAAACTGTGCCCATTTCTATCGAGGTTGAATGAGGATGGCAGAAGCTAATCAGAATCCTAAGACTCGCCAGGCATCATTAGTACATAATGAGTAAATGAAATACGGATCCAATGATAAACACTTCTCCATCCAACTCAGCAAAACAAATGGTTGGTTCAAATTGAGAGTTATTTCCCCTATAAAAATGATCCAATATGTTACTACTAGTCTACTATTATCAAGATATTGAGAGGATCATCTACATCCTCTCTCACAAGTAATTCGCCTCTTGAACTTATATATTTTGATGTTTGGGTCCTTCATCAATATAATCTCATGATTACTATCTTATTTTTATTGGTCACTTCACATAGTATATGTGGTTATTTCCCGTAAAGCAAAAATTTAAAGTATTCATCATTTTTCCTAAGTTCAAACTTATTGTTGAAAAGTTCTTTCAACGATCCATAATTTCATTCTACTCTAATAATGGTGGTGAATTTCAAAAGCTTCGAAACTTTTTTTGAAACCAATGGAATCTTTCATTTTCTCACCCCTTCACATACTCCTGAATGGGACCGCGGAACGTTGTCATAAGCACATTATCTAAACTGATCTCACACTCCTTACTTAAGCTTCCTTACTTTTTTTAATTTTGGTCTTATATATTTGTTACATCAACTTATCTTATTAATCACATGCCCACTCTAGTTCTCAATATGATTTCATCATTTGAAAAACTATTTAAATCCACTCCTAACCATAGGAAATTACGTGTTTTTGGGTGTTTATGTTATCCATGGTTAAAACCTTACACCTATAACAAATTAGAAACCCGATCAAAAACATGTGTTTTTCTTGGATATACTACTAATCAAAGTGCCTTTAAATGTTTTGATCCATTAACCAAAATAATTTTCATTTCTCGTCATGTTGATTTTATAGAATTTGTTTTTTCTTATAAATAACTTGACTCTTCCTTACCTAGACGAACTTCCAATAACTTTGTTGATTGAGTCCCCCAAATTCATAAGCCACCTCATATTATCATTCTCGTTCAAGTTGAAACATCAACCCCAACCACTAATCCAAAAACTCTATCCACTCAGAGCCTACCAGATCCTTCCTTAATGGTACATGATGAACAATATGTTACCTTATTCATCCAGCTACCTCATGAGAGTGTCACACATCAATAGAATTCACGACAAGGTTTAGTTTCAGCAACCCCTATTTTAAATTCTTCTTGTCCAACACATCCTAGAGATATCATTGACCCTACACCAATTCATCTGATGGTTACTAGATCGAAAAATGAAATCTCTAAACCAAATAAACATTTCTTTGTTTTCGTAAAACAATCTCAAAAATGTATTTATGGGCTTTCTGCTGTCAACCAAGCCTTAAAAATTCCAGAATGGTGAGCGGCAATGACTAAAGAATATAATGCTTTATTACGGAATAGTATATGGAACTTTATTCGGAATAGTATAAACCTTATAGGGTGTAAATGAGTTTTTCGTATCAAACGAAATCATGATGGGTCCATTAATAAGTATAAAGCAAGACTTACTGCAAAGGGATTTCATCAATGTCAAACCTCAAGTACCATGACACCTTTAGCCCAATTGTGAAGCCAACAACAATTCATATTATTTTATGTCTTGCCTTGTTTAATAATTGGGGACTTCAATAGTTGGACGTGAATAATGCATTTCTTCATAATCATATTTTCGATGATATATTTATGAGGAAACCTCCAGGTTTTATTGATCAAAATCTTTCTCAAGATATATATAAGTTACGTAAGACTCTTTATGGTTTCAAGTAGGCTTCTCATGCTTGGTATCATGAACTTCAAACACATCTAGTCTCAGTTGGATTTCATAATTCTCAATCTGATAATTCGTTATTCATTTATTCTCGTGAGGGCATAATCATTTTTTTACTAGTTTATGTTGATTTAATTATTGCTAGTAATAAATCAATAATAATTAATCAGTTTATTTAGTAGCTTGGAAACAAGTTTACAATCAAAGATCTTGAGTCCCTCAACTATCTTCTTGGTGTTCAAGTCATCCACACGACAAATGGTCTATTTCTTTCTCAACAGAAGTATATTCATGACCTTCTAGATCGCATCAAAATGTTTGAAGATAATAATGTTACTATGCTAATCTCTACAAGTGTTGCTCTTACCATATCCGATAGTGCTAATCTTAGTGATGCCACTGAGTATTGCCAAATTGTTGGCAATCTACAAGATTTAGCATTCACTCGTTCGGACATTGCATATGCAGTAAATAAATTATCTCAATTTATGCACAAGCTTACTTTCAACCATTGGACAACCGTTAAACGTCATTTGTGGTACTTAAAGGGCACTATTAGTCACGACTTATTTCTCCGAAAGGACTCCCCTCTATTGCTTCATGTATTTTCGAGTGCTGATTAGACAAGTAATAAGGATGACATGATATCTACTAGTGCTTATGTCGTATTCCTTGGTCACAATCTAATCTCTTGGAGTTTCAAGAGACAACGTTCTTATTGCAAGATCTTCTACGGAGGTTGGATATCGAGCATTTGCTTCTACAATTGTTGAACTTTGTTGGATTCAATCATTACTATATAAACTATTTATCACATTTTCTATCCTCCATCCATATATTATGACAATATCGGGACAACATATCTATATGCTAATCTTATATTTCACTCTTGAATAAAGCACGTAGTTATCGATTTTCACTTTGTTTATAACAAAGTTCAAAATGGTGAGTTACGTGTCTCTCATGGCTCATCTTCTGATCAACTTACAGATGCTCTTACCAAATCTTTGTCTTACCAATAATTCCTCCTACATCGATCCAAGATTAGTATCTTTGATGGGAGCACCATCTTGCAGGAGCATATTAGGAAGGATATTATTAAGAAAAATAAATCATTATAAAATTATCATGATCCTCTCAATATCTTGATAATATGTTATAATGATTCTAAATCATAGAAATTATGAGAACATATTATCATGATTCTATGAATAATAAGGATCATGGGCTCAATGTGATCTCCTACATTATGAAATGATTTAGAAAAATATTTTATATTTATTATTGATGAAAAAATAATGTAATTATCCTATTTTTGTAATCTCTCGTTGTGGATATAAATTCATACACGCTATCAATAAAAATTCAAGCCAGTCATTTCTTTCAACTACGACCAAATATTTAACCAAGATTCTTGATATAACCGGGGTAAACTATATAGCCAGTAAGAAGAAGCTGCAATTTTTCGTGGGCTTATATGCAGCTCTGGTGTAACTGTTCCCGCCAGCGATTGATATCATAATCTCTCAAAACAAGAAGGTGAAACTTGTCTTACAAGTTCCGTAATCGATCCTCATTCAAGCATAACCCAAACGCGAGCAATTCTATCGAAGGATCCTTCAATTGCAATCTAATAAAAACCAACATAGCATGCCGACAGATCGGAAGCGAATATTATGGTTCCTGAACCACTACGGAGAAGGCAAACAGAAAGGGAAGACACGAAAAGAAAACCTGAAACCAGTTTGCTTCTTGTAATCGAGAGGCGTCCATGGGCAGTAAAATGCACAAGCGCTAAAGCTGGATTGAAGACCGAGACGCTCGAACCCACGGCAGCCATTTGGGATTTGGCAATTTGGTGGTGGGGGTCTCGAGCTCCACTGTCGCACCAGAGAAGAAGCGAACGCGCAATTTATAGGTCGCCTTTTGCTTCTTATCCGACAAAATATCTTCTGGGCCGTCTTTGGGGCGTAAACCGAACCGCACCGGTCGCTATGTTTTATAGACCGCACTAATTAAACCGGACATTTGGACAGCAGTTAACCGGTTCAGCGAACGGAATACTGTACAGTTATGCTATGTACCAACGCTAATTAAACCGATTCAGCGTCTGTTCGATAGGGTCGGTCAAAGTTCAAACTATGTCGAACCGAACCGAATTGATCCATAACCAATTTGACCCGATTCATCAATGGTTTTGATTTTGATGACTATAAGCTCTTGCCCGGTTCGATTAATCGATTCCAATCGAATCGATTCTACCATTACAAGGTTCTGAAATAGTGCATGTGCCGGTTCAAAATATATTATAACACAAAAACAATTATGAAGATAAAATCTAACACATTGATCTGGTCGTTAATTAGCTTAAACATTTTAAATATTAATAATAAGATATTAAGATCATATCTCATTTTCACCATTTATCTTTGATGAAAACAAAATGGAAAAACATATAGAAGCAGCAGCAACTGTTCTTCTTCAGTCACCTTCACTGCACATGCACAAAGAAGCACGGAGGCCACGAGGATGAGGGTGGCCGTCTCAGGAATATACGCTACTGCTTGTGAAGACCACGATCGCTTGCACGCTCGGTTGCGGTTGTTGGGATGAGCGGCTTTCACGTACGCAGCGTCGTCAGAGGCGTCCAAATGCCGCCGGGGCTGACGCGGGTCTTGGCATCCCGTGGTTGGCGTAGTGTCGGCATTTCGACGAACACTTGTGCTCCATGCAGTGTGGGTAGCGTCCACGCTTTCTTCTCTCTATATATGTTGCCGTTTCGTACGATTCAATCCAGATGACATGACAAGCCATCAATACACGAATCAAATATAAATCGATCGGTACAATATGGTATAATATGATATTGGTGCACTGAATCCCTAATTAATACAGTGGTCGAAATTATGAACCGCGCTTCAAACATAATTTTCATAAGAGTATATTCAAATCAATCACTATTAATCATAATTATCATTATAAAATAAATAATATTTTAAAATTATATATAAATATAAATATGATGTGATTAATATTTTAGATCATTATTCGTATTTCTAAGCACTAATTTAGAGGGAAGAATGTGAAAACCACTAAATAAAAAATTGTTTTTGGAAAGTACAATCATATTTATGATTATTTGTGTAGATAAAAACAAACAGAAAAAAAGGAAACCACTACTGTCACCGGATAAGGGGGGATGACAGCATGGCCGGGCCCCGCCGGGGATTAGGCGGAGGCTTGCAAGCAATGAGACTTTGAGTGCGGAGGTCGCCTCCGGTCTCCCGATCCCCATCCGACGGGCCCTGTTCCATCCGTCGCCACGAGGAGCCGCTGCCTCCCCCGACATGTACCCGTCGTCGTTCTCGCCCCGGTCGACAACGTTGGCGTGATTTCAGCGGACATCCCTTCGAAGGAAGAGGAACCGCTCCCCTACTTAATCTCCCTTTGCAACCACAGCTCCGCACTGCGCCCTCCGTTGCGTGTCCAATCCGATCCCTTGCTTCCTCGATCCCTCGCCCGTTCTTGCGGTCGGAAATCGGTAAAAGACTCGACCTTTATCTTTGCCGGCTGCTAATATTTTCGGCGCCGTACTCAATTGTACTGGTTGATGATTGCGGAGAATCTTTGTTTTGTCTTTTCTTTGTTAAAGTCGCGGTTTTTTTTTAATGTATTTCGATGGAGTCCTTCGCTCTGTTGATTAACCACGTCCCACCTTCGACTTCAATTATTGTAAATGTTCGAATTTTGGACGCTTCTCAGTGTTCGAATTTTGCACTTCCGGTGAGCCTTGTATATTTATTTGTTATTCGTGTACTCTGGCTTGGAGTTGTGGCTCTTGAAATGGCCATTGTTTTCACGTTTTGTTATTGGCGTGTACTTTGTTACGTTTAGATTGCATTGTGTTTGTTTCCTTTTATCTTTTTCTGTTAAGGCATGGTATTCAACTTAGTAGGATCTTTACCGATTTCATTCCATATGTATTTTCATCTCAATTATGCAATTAACTTTTAGCGCCTCTAACGGCTTGAACTTATATTTTGGGTGTCACTGTTGTTTTTCTGGATACACCAGATTCATGCTCTGATATTGTAATGGGTGTTGGAGAAACATCTTACGGTGGTATGTTATGCTACATTTTCCTCCTATTTGCTCTTCCTTGGTGCTTTGCCCATGGGTTAGAGGCAAATCAGTCTGCGCTGCTGACAGTAGATGCTTCGCCACAATCTGGTCAAAAGATTCCTGATACTCTGTTTGGTATCTTTTTTGAGGTTAGTAATTCATTTGCATGTATCTTTTTCTCTATCTGGCCACATGACAAATCAGGGAAATGCCTCTTAGGTTCTGGAAATTAATATCATTGCTGTTTTCTGGTAAATTTCACTTCTGCTGGTATCTTAGCATAAAGACGAGGAAAATTGAATAATTGAGTGCCACTTTCAGCTAAATTATCAGGATGATAAGGCTTCATGTGCATTGAAATAGTTGTATTCTGACTATTCTCTTAATCCTTGGTGCCATTTTTTTGGGTGGAAGTTGGTAGCCCATGTATCTATTGGTACTTTGAATTCCTTTGCTGGAGAAATATTCCAAGTGTATATATGATCTATTTGAAGTCTTATATAATATTTAAACCAAGGTTATAGGGCAACGATAAGTAGATCATTATATTATTATTTGTAAAGATCACATGTTGTGAACTAATGAATTTTTACATGAACTCAGGAGATTAACCATGCTGGAGCAGGTGGAATATGGGCAGAGCTCGTGAGTAATAGAGGTAATTGAATCCCTAAATCTTGGAACAACAATAATAGAACCGGAAAGCCCCAAGTATTTGGGGTTGACTAAATGAATCTTTTGCCATCATTGTGACATGTAAAAAACCATACATTTATTTAACTTAGGAGGAGTTTTTAAATCTTTATTTATAGTTTCTAACTTTCTATTAAGATCTAAAATTTTCCTCCACCTCTCCTGGTATCACCGATAGTAATCATTTCACCTCTTTCAACTGTCCTAAATTCTAAAGCAAAACAAAAATGTTTTCTAGTTGTTTAAAGAAAATCACCAGTTGTGTTCTCTAATCGATTTGAAATGAAAGGATACTCACTATTCTATGTCCTATATGACTTTTCAACTTCCATGACCACCATCACCAGTGGCGATGGAGGATATATATAGGTAAGCTGAATGTGGGGAAAGGTACTTTTTTGAATGAATATGTTGCTACTTTTGGAATTACTAATTTACACTTCTTGTATCTGCTGTAGTCGTTTGAAAAGAACTATTTTTTTTTCTTTCAGCATCTTTTTTGCTTAGATTGATGGTGAAATCAATCCACACCATGCTATGTTGTGCCAATGGTGTTGGACTAGTCTAAACCACTTTTTGGCTGGTATCATTTGGTGCAATGGTGTGCCAACTGGCTTAGTCTGGTACCATTTCATGTCAGGAAGGTGTTGGCATTGCTCTTGTACCATGAAATGATAGATCTTACATGGAAGATAATTGAGTTTGTGTTGAGGAGAAACATGTTTGGAGTTTTAGCAAGGTTTGTCGTACCACGATGTATTGCTCGGTACGGGCAGTACATACCGGTCCGATAGAGGACCTGTATGAGTGGTACATACTAGTTTGTTAGTATATCCCATCATACCATATGTCTGTACATCGGTATGTACCGTGCCAATGGCTGGTCGGTACAGACCGGTAAGGCGAACCATGAGTTTCGGCAAGTTGATGTTTGGGTTAGAATAATGGAAGGATGGGTTGGTGTAGGAAGTGGAAGTCCAAAATTTGGTAGGTTTTTGAGTTCTAAGTTTGGAGTATAGACAAGATGGTGTGAGATGCCATAGAGAGAGGAATAAGTAGCTGATGCTGCCTTTGGATACCCTAGATCATGGAAAAGTCAGGATGCAAGATGGTGTGATGGAAAAGCTAGAGATAGATGGGTATGTTGTTTTTGTTAGGTTTGATTTTATAACAATGCTATTGAGCACCAGGGCCAAAGATTTCGGTTATGTTAATGCATTAAGTGTTTCGTCACTCGAGGCACCTACTTATATCTCTTGTGAATATTAAAAATTCAGATATGTACTGAACTCTATAATCTATGGCATTCTGATGCCAACAGGCCCAGCCTACCAAGAAAAAGTGTACCTTGTAACACAACCTTATCAAGACAAATATACATAAAGATGTTTTACCTTCTCAAAAAGAGGCCAAAAACAAAAATCATAGCTTGGTGTCTGACCCTTGACATATTTCTTGTACCAGAGTTTGTGCACATCAATTTTTTTGCCACTGGTGCTGCGTGAGCTTTTTCTTTTTGTGGATTTTTCTTCCAGCCAGGGGTTTTGTCTTCATACAATATATCTTACTTACGATGTTTTCATACAAGAAGGCACATGAGCGGCATCGAAATTGGCAAATGTTAGTAGAACTAATTCAGTTGGTCTTGTCATTTCAGGAAAAAAAAAGGAATTATATTACTACAATGAAATTATACTGCTAGGCTATTTATATTATAGTGAGTGGTGTGATAAATGTCAAAATATGATTAATAAGATAACAACTAATCACATATGTGCTTTGTTTAATTTTATTCCCGTTGCTGGCACATGAAAAAAATGATTTTTTTTAATAATTGTTTAGCTAAAAACTAAATATTGTTTGGTATGTTCTTTATTCTTTACGTTGTCAATTCTCTGAACAATATCTTTTTCAGGTTTTGAAGCTGGAGGCCCTAACACACCTTCAAACATTGATCCATGGTCCATCATTGGGCAAGAATCTTTCATTTATGTGTCAACTGACCGAACTTCTTGTTTCCCTCGTAACGAGGTTGCACTGAGAATGGAGGTACTCTGTGATAACACAGGATCTGTCATCTGTCCTTCTGATGGTGTTGGCATATATAACCCTGGATATTGGGGCATGGTATGTAGTATGTACTTCTTGTACTGTGAATGCAATGCCTCTTTCTTGATTTATTTGCAAGTAACACTAATAAAAGAATAGGGCTGATTTGAACTTGAAAGAATCTGCACTGGCCTACCTAATTGGAAACATGACACAGTTATTTTTAACCTTCTATGTGGCATTCCACCTCTTCAAACTTTTGCTTAATTTCTTACTTCTCCTGTCTTCCATTTTAACCAATACAGCACACTTAAGATAATTTTAGTCTATGTGAGTGCTTTGAAAATTCTATTTGACTGACTCGGTGCTATTGGGATCACTGCACCTATACAAATGTACAGACATACATGATATCTACATGTATAGACTTTTTGTATAAAAAATTGAGGGCTTCTTCCTATTACATGTGTTTATAAATCATTGATTCTAACTATTGGAATATACAGTAATTTCCAAACAATTCAATAATATTCTCTGCTTAACATCTTCTCTCCCTGCTTTGTCATTGGGATATTTCAGAATATAGAACAAGGGAAGACATATAAGCTGATTCTGTACGTCAGGTCACTCAACTCAATTAACATGTCAGTTTCATTGACAAGCTCAGATGGATTGCAGAAACTGGCTTCTGCCAGCATATTGTGAGGATCTTTGTAGGCTTAAAAATTTACTAGAACCTTTGAAAGTCAAGATTCTCATATGTAGGAGCTTCTTTTTTTTTCCTTTATTTTCAGAGCTGATGCTTCAGATGTATCAAACTGGACCCGGGTGGAGCTTCTTTTAGAATCTGTGGAAACAAACATGAACTCGAGGCTTCAATTGACTACTACAAATAAAGGAGTTATTTGGTTTGATCAAGTTTCTCTTATGCCATCAGACACTTACAAGGTATGCTTTTGCATAGTAGATTGTGTATATTTACTTTTTTCTTTAACAAAGGAAAGACATTATATTGAGTTACAAGTTCGATACAAGTTGCACAGCTAATGGATCAGCTACAGTCCAAACAAATGGAGAACCAAGAGATCTCCCAAAAATGGCAAGTTTGTGAGGCACTGTGTTAGAATTCCTAGGGATGTGATTAATAGAGACATCAATCAATTGCAAAGGTCAAAAATATCATCCAAAAGATTCCTAATGAACCAGGGGATTGGAGTAAATCCATAGCAAAATTAAGTATCTCCATTGAGTCCAACTGAACCCTTATAGAAGAGAGATTCAGCTTGTGAGCCTTTCTTAAGCCATTCAAAAGTCCCAAGGCTTCATCGGCAACCGAAGAATCAACCTTGCCACTACCACCTCCAACTCCAAAAAGGTCCAGTGAAGCACTCCTCTAGGTAAAACCAGTACCTGCAGGTAAGCAAGAGGAGACAAACGAGCCATCAATTTGGAGAATAAAATCACACCTGACCTGTTCCAGAGGAAGAGGTATTGCTTTTCTCACTGACAGTTCCTCAGACCCCAGGGAGGAATCAAAGCTATCATTGGCAAGGGCTAGGGCTTTCGCAATCAAATAAGAAACATTAGAAGGGTGGTTGCGAACTTTGGCATCATTTCCGGTTGTCCATACAACCCATAGGTTAATAGAAATAATACAAACCAGTCTGCTATTGGAATCTTTATTAAGTTCTTTTCCCTTATCAAGCCAAGACCCCTCAGCCCTTTCATTGAAGAGTTTGAAAACATATCCAACCTGCTGCTGCAAGTAAGCAGGACAGTGCAAAAGAACACTCAAAAGAATATATGTTTAGCATAATCAGCATGAAGTTGACAAAGGAAACATTGATCAACTTGACCACAAAGAATGCCCGAGATCCAACTTGATGTGGGAAATTTGTTCCAGCAAAATTTCCATAAAAAGACTTTAATTTTAGGGGCCACTTTAAGATGCCAAATGGCCTTCTAGCCCCACCAGTTATAATCATCTAATCCTAAACCTTTGCTTAAGCAGTGATAGGTGCTACTTACCGAAGTAATGCCACTTGGACTAAGAGTCCAAACCCAAGTTGTCTTCCTTGGGACATTGTGAGAGATGAATATACTGAATCCTGTCGATCAAAGAAGCGTGAAAGATGGAGGTTAACAGGGATATATTCCATTGTTGGTTTATAATTAAATCAAGATCCCTACCTGATGGAAGCTGTCTCCAAGGATGGATATCCCCAGATGGCTTTTTAACAATACTGAGATCACTAATGCCAAGATTCCCTTTGTCTTTAGGTTTAACTATGGCATCCTAATAGAAATGTCATTCCCAATCAGTTTCCTGAATCCAAAATTTATCAAACAGACCAAGCTAAAAACTGCTTTACTGGATCTTGAAATCCTACCTTAAGGAAGCTGTTTCCAAGGATGGATATCCCCATATTTAGATGAGAAGACCCTAACGCATGATCTATCCTTCTTGTTCAAACTAGTAATGATGAATTTGGTACAAATGTCTTTTTAACAATAGTAGGATCTCTAATGCCAAGATCCCCTTTGTCTTTAGATTTAACCATGGTATCCTAGTTGATGAGATGCATTTTCCTACAGTGGCGATCATATTCCAAAAGAAACTAAAGTGTATATTTACTTTTACCATATGCAAAAAAGCATTAGTTTAGAGAAATGCAATAATTTGTATGAATAAATAGGAATAAGAACAAAAAGGGACAACTAAGGAATCATCCATACATCAAACAGTATATGTTGTAAGTCACAAACTTCTGCCTATAAAGATTTTGTATTTTCCCACACAACTCAAAGTCTAAGGATTCTTGAAGCAGGATAAAAATCCACAGTCACATAGAAGGAAATTTTACATTTTGAACTTGCCATTGTAACTTGGTTTATACTCTTTTTATTGATGGTTTTCTATTGAACAGGGACATGGCTTTCGTAAGGAACTAATATCAATGATTGAAGATATGAAACCTCGGTTCATAAGATTTCCTGGTATGAGAATAATTAAATTTTAGTCTTAGTTTTAAGAACTTCCATATACTGTTTGTAAATATTTATTTGCCCATTGATTACTGCAAATTATATTTACATACATATATATACACACGATTTATCTTTTTGTGTGTGTGTATATATATGTATGTATGTACATACATACATACATGCAAAAGATACCATATACACTTCTCTTTTTTGCTTTAAGAACTGAGCAGCCAATTTTTCGTTTATGACCATGCATGCAATTATTGTAGATGAGCAACAGAATTGGGTTCTGTTGTGGGGTCTTTGTGCAAATTTATCTTTGTCTAGTAGGAAAAAAGACTAATATTGAAAACCCACCATGAATTTTCTCACTTTAGTATAAGAATATTACCTTTTTTGTTTGGTCAAATGATCATTTTTAGCAGAGTGAAAATGTAGCATTTTGTTGTTCTTCATATATTTTTTTTGTTATCAACTATGTTAAGGGAAAATGCATAATGTGTTTAATTTTGTCTATGGTATCCAGTAAGTTTGTGTTAAGCCATCTTTAGCAAACTATTACTCCAGCATATTATGTTTCTTGGACTTACTACCATATGGACTCTCAACGTGCTTTGCCACAAATTGTATACATCCATTTACCGGGTTCACATTTTACTCCTGATAGATCAAACAGGAAAAGTCGACCGACAAACTATGAGAAACTGATGTGATTGTTTAAGTTTAACAAGTGGTTGACAATGTTATATTATCTATTCCATGGAACCATGTATATATTGTATGTTACTTATTGAGAGTCATTTGTTTGTTGACAATAATATTTCTACATGCTTCTGTGTACTCTCATTAGTGACGTACATGCTTTGCTGCATGCTAGTGTATTTTCTGGTACAAATCAGTGATTTAAAAAGTGCTAGGCGCCAAAAGGCGCCAAGGTACAAAAACGCCCGAGGCGCTAGGCGCTCGCCCGAGCGAAGCGAGGCGCTAAAATATAAAAATATATAATATAATTAATATAATTATTTAAATAAAAAATATGCTATTAAATTAAGAAAATCGAGTACAAAATCATAATGTCATATTAATAAAAAGTCTCAAAAATCAAAACAATAAAATTTTACATCAAATCTATTGAGTTGCTCTGTACACTTGCCATTTATTCTAAAACCTAACAATAATTTTAAATAAATAAAAATTAATAGTATTAAAATTAAAATAATATATTATTAATCTAATAAATAAAAATACTATTATTAGTATACAGTTAGCAGTATACTGTTAATATACTATTAACAGTATAGTGAGAAGAGTGTGAGAAGACCGAGGCTGCTAAGGCAACGACAGCGGTAGCGGGAGCGACGAGCGATAGCAGGAGTGGGAGTGGGAGCGGGAGCTGCGAGCGACGATTGTGGTAGCGGCGAGTAGTGACAATGGCAGCGGCAGTGGCAGCAGAGAGCAACGACAACGGAGAAGAAATCTCAACGGCAAAATCGCGAGTGTTAGGGTTGGGGAAGTCGGGGAAATCGTGAGAGGGAGCCTATCGGTGATTTAGTTGGTTCGATTGAACTAACTAAAGCACCAGAGACTGAACCAGACGTAAAACACTAGTTCGGTCGCCTGGTTTAACCCGGGCGCTCGCCCGAAGCGCTCGGCGCCTGGGCTCGGGCGAGCGCCTAGGCGGCGCCTCGTTGAAGCGAGGCGCTCGGGCCTCGCCTTGCCTCACCCGAGCGCCTAGGCGAGCGCCCGAGCGCCTATTGAAATCACTGGTACAAACTTGTTTCAGTCAGTATAGGTGGATTGATCAAGCATCATTTATAACAAAAGCTGGTTCAACCACACAGACAGCAAAAAGATGCCCATGTAAACTACAATATGATCTGGTTTAGCTCAATTTTAAATGCACTATGGCATCCTGAATTTGCAACCTGTGAAACTTCTCTTCAAAGAAGTCCCAGCATGAAGGGGAATACTGTCATTACAAGTCCATGATGGCAATGTTGACTCAGAGGAAGGAAGTGGGATAATTTTGTACTTCTTTGTGTTCTCTCTCTCTCTCTCTTGTTTTCTTTTCATGTGTCACTCTGGCATGCTTGCATTGGCACAGATATGTGCTAGATCATGCTGACATTCATTAGCACTGGGGAAACTAAAATCCTGTTTTTTAGAATGGAAAATCTGTTGGAAAGTGTAGAAGAACTTATTAATTTATTTTTTCTTGATTCTTGTAGCTTCTTGTTGTTGATATGCTTAAGTTAACTAATTGAAATGTTATTACTACAGTAACTCACAAGATCTTTATCTGTTGTTTCTTTCCTTCACATTATTGACAAACTTATAAGACTTGAATCTTTATTATTTCAGGAGGTTGTTTTGTTGAAGGTGAATGGCTACGAAATGCATTCCGGTGGAGAGAAACTATTGGTCCATGGGAGGAGCGACCTGGGCACTTTGGCGATGTTTGGATGTACTGGACTGACGATGGACTGGGGTACCTTGAATTTCTTCAGGTTGGATCAAGATAGTTCTTTAGATCTCAAGTTTGAGGTTTTGTGTCTGTATGTGCACCTGCACACACACACACAAACATTATATATATATATATATATATATAGGAGTCTGCTTAACTTATTTTCATGGTTTACTGCAGCTTGCTGAGGACCTTGGTGCTTCCCCTATATGGGTGTTCAATAATGGTACTTTCATCTGCCTTGTAGATAAAGGGCTTGAATAAGCAACATTTACATTTATCCGTTGCACTTGTTTTGTTACAGGAATTAGCCATAATGATGAAGTCGATACTACCGCCATCCTTCCTTTTGTACAGGCATGTCTTGAACATAGCAGTTTATATTATAATGGCTAAGTTGATCATTACTAGTTTATATATTAGTTCCTGATGAATTTAAAGGACAATTGATGGAAGTTGTATCGAGTTATCTACATATGTATAACCAGAAGTACTTTGCTACAGTTACTAGTATATGTATTAGTTCCTGATAAATAGTATTCTTTGTGTACACATGCTTACAGTGAATTTTTCAGAAAATATAGCATATGGATACAGTGATCTAATTTTTCCGGTATTATGTTGTTTAATTAGCTGTAACTGTTAATAAAATCTTGAATTTTCACTTAAAACTTCTTTACAGCATGTGAATAAATAAGATCTGTTCTTTTATGAATATTACTGCTTCCCATATGATTTGCCTATGAAGATATTTTTTGGAAACCATTATTTTCCTCACAGTTTTACTTAAGCCACACTTTTTTTGCATGAATTGCTTATAATTTTATTTTATTTCAGGATGTCCTAGACAGTATCGAGTTTGCTAGGGGAAGCCGTGATTCAAAGTGGGGCTCTGTTCGGGCAGGAATGGGACATCCAGAACCTTTTCAGTTAGAATATGTTGCTATCGGAAATGAGGATTGCGGGAAAAAATTTTATCGAGGTATGTTGTTGTTGTGTTCTATTGTTTGTTATGTCTTTATTTATCAATTAATCGGTGACCATACCAAAAATTCAAATATTAAACAAGTGTGCATCTATTTCTAAAAAATTCCTATATGTGAATGAGATAATCTAGTTTTATATCAATAGGATTTTGTAATAGTATTATACTTATGAGTTCCGGGCAATTTTACTATTGTTCATGTCAAACTCATGGATTTTCTTGTGCGTGAATCCTTGTAATACTAAGAATGATTGTTCCACAAAATTAAGTTCTGGTTACATTGACTTGATTATATCAGCAATTTGAACCTTCAGTAAAATAGAGTCAACAACCACCCAACCCAATTGATTTCATATGATTCTATGCCATGCTAAGCAAAAAATGTATTACCATAAGAGAGTACAAGTCATGGAACTGATTACTTAAGTTCTATTAGTTTCTTTTTAGCTAGTCACTTGAGTCTATGTATCTACAAGTACCAAACACCAACTCACGCTAAAATAATAAACATGTAATAGTTTAATTGATAATTTGAGGTTTAACTAATCAATATTGGCAAACCAGTGGCAACATGTTTATTATTAGGGTGATCTAAGAGTTTAACTTCTATCTATTCCAACTGGGTTTTTGATGTGACTGCCACTGCATTAGAGTTTGGTAACAGGTTTGAGGGGAAAGAACACCGGATACTGAGGCTCATATGAAATATGTATTATAATCATGCTATCTAGTAGCTCCAACCAAGAGAAAACTAATACCTTTTATACAGAGACACATAATTAGCAATGGTGATTATGATCAACTCCATAGATTATTGAGTATGGAATAAACTTTCCTTTGCAAAAGTATTTCAATTTTCATACTGATAACATATCGAGATGAAAATGTTTAATGCAGTGATGTGACCAATGTTTTTACCAAATTGGGACTTGATATATGAAGTTTATAGCAAGATTCATCATACCGTGACATATCGCTTGGTATGAGCGATACATACCAATCTGATAGAGGACGAGTATAGGTGGTACATTGGTACACTCCCATATACAATGTGTCGGCATGCTCGATACGACTCGGTACATACCATATTGACAACTGGTCAATACACTGGTACAGATCGGTAAAGTAAACCATGGCTTATAGTTTATCATAAAATAACGAGACAATAAATCCAATGTGGCTTATCATTTCAAAGTAGACCACAATAAAAAAAAAATCTGAATACAAATTTATTCAGATAATATTTTCTTAATCACAAGAAGTTAGAATCTCAGTTCATAAATTGGGACCTTATTTCATATATTAAAATTATGCTATCCAGTAGCTCCAACCAAGAGAAAACTAAGACCTTTTATACAGAGACAAATAATTAGCAATGGTGATTATGATCAACTGCATAGATTTGGACAGTTTTCTTGAAGTTTCAGAATGATTTGATTACCTATTAAACTAATCCAAGGTGGCGGGAAGTCACTGCCTTCAAATTTATGGTTATATTTTTCAATGCAATATTGAATTATAATTAGTTCCATTATCTTGGTATTAGGAAGTAGTTTACAGATGTATCTAAAAATTTTTTATCATACTAACAAACACCTTTTTATTTTGCTTGCTGTGATACTTTAGTGCATGGATTAGCTGCCGATTTTTGTCAGTGCATTTCTGTGCTTTAGGCATGCCAACATTGTGCTTGCCTCTCCTTGAGTTGGTGTAGATTAGCACAGATTGACCATTCCAATGTGCATGTATCATACAAGCACATTATCTGCACGCTCATTTGTCTTGGAATTTTAATTATTCTTTAGTGCATAGTAATTTTTCTCTTAGTATGTCAGCAGCATATGAACATTAATTTCAACTCGAGACACTTGTAGCTTTTTTAACATGCGAGAAAAGAAATTGCATATGCTATATTTTTATTGCAATCATGTATCTTGAAGAACAAGTCAGTAGTTCAGCAAGCACTGTCCTTAAGACTAAATTAGATAAAATTAGGGAGTAATTGAAGATTGCAAGCAGTTATAGGAGGTATGTTGATATAGTTTCTTACTTTCTTAGGCACTGGGCTTACTGTATACTTTAGTCATCGTTCTTGTAGTCTACTCATTTACATTTTATGCCAAAATCATTCATAATTTATTTGCATCAGACGTACTAGGCATTTATTCTCAGTTCACTTATTTGCATGTTAATTTATTTGCATCAGACGTACTAGGCATTCAAAATCATTCATAATTTATTTGCATCAGACGTACTAGGCATTCATAATTTAGAGGTTCAACTTTGTAGTTAGTAAATAAAATGCTGGTGAAAGATGCTTCTTTAGAACAGAGTTCCATTCTTGGTTGTGATTATATTAACAATCTTCAAATTTCAAGAATATAGTAGCAAAATATTATATACTCTCAAAGCTTCCATTTGTTACATTTGAGTTTAAACCTTGTAACTAATGAAAACAACTTATTGTTTTACATACATTTTCTTTTTAGTTATTGCTTGTACATATTTTTTATGTTCTTCCAGCCATGTAAGCAATTAAAAGTAAGTTCTGTCAAATAGCAGAAAGTGATGTATTTGCAAATTTTCAATCGTGTATGTTGATTAATATTCTTTCTTTACTGTGTATTGATGTTTACAATTGAAAATTGAAGTTCCAACAAGAATATGTCATTGAATTGAAGCTGTTTTTAGGTTCTCAGAAGATCCATTTTTCTGTTGCTATTGGGTGGCTTTCTCGTCTATATTATACTTAGACAATTGCAACAATAAAATTTGAAAAACTAATCTGATGATTGTCAAATTGTCCTTGGACAGGAAACTACATGAAGTTCTACTATGCAATAAAAGCTGCCTATCCAGACATTAAAATTATATCAAACTGTGATGGGTCATCTAGACCATTGGATCATCCTGCGGATTTTTATGATTTTCATGTAAGAACTGTTTTGAGTGCAGTTGGGAGAATTTTCTCTTCATTTTTTATTTTCGTTGATCATGAATACGCTGAGTTGTCTAGTTTTCAGTTACTTAAGATGACATTTCCTGCATAGGTTTATACCTCTGCCCGCAACTTGTTTTCAATGACCAATCATTTCGATCGCACATCACGCGATGGGCCTAAGGTATCGCAGTTACAAATTTTAACACTTTGTTTGAGTGTTTGATGCTTTCTGACATACTCATAATTATGAGACGAGCAAGGATCGTGTTTGATTCTTATTTTCTGTTGAAATAATTCCAGGCTTTTGTTAGTGAATATGCTGTGACTGGATCAGATGCGGGTACCGGTAGCCTTTTAGCTTCATTAGGAGAAGCTGCATTCCTCATTGGACTAGAAAGGAATAGGTATTTTCATCATCAAAAATATTCTAGATATATGTCTGCATTCCTCATTGTGTTAGCAGGATGTGTATATTTACATGCTCAATGATTTCTTAAGCTCATTTTTAGACATATGGCTTATGATTGTTGACTATCCGATGTTTATCTTTAGCCATGCATAGTAAGTTATAATGTATAGTTTGAGCTAATTGTTATGCACAACTGAGAGAAATATGCTTAGGCAGTGTTTTCCTCTCCTGGTACAATGAAGGATACTAGAGATGATCTTTTTTCTTTATCATAACTATTGACAAACATCACTTATCATCAATTTCTTGTGTTGTTTCTTTGAATGTAGTGATGTTGTTGAGATGGCGAGTTATGCTCCACTTTTTGTCAATACCCATGATCGCAGGTAAATGTTGGGAATATTACATTAATTTTCTCCCTCTGCAGATTTTTCTGATGTTTAGTCCTTAGGATTGCCATACTGGCTTCTTATGTGTTTGCATAAATTTGCTTTTGTTAATGTTTCATATATGGAATGCACACATATAATGGGATTAAGAATAGATGGCATTCACAAATGCCCCTTAAAAGTTTCTTATTGTATGTCATTTTGAATGGTCATGCAAAATCATGAAAACTTGGAATTGCATCAGTACCCATATTAAGGGAATATATTCTTAGAAAGAATAGTTTTGGAGGGTGTAGATGCAAAATTAAATTTTTGAGGGGCATCTAAGGTTTTTATGAAGGCCAAACATATAATTCCTTAAGAGAATTCATGTCTTCCTTACATTTTCAACAGTACAAGCAGTGGTAATTGAAAGGTTAATTTACATTCTGTAGGTGGAATCCCGATGCTATTGTCTTCAATTCATGGCAGCAATATGGAACTCCTAGCTACTGGATGCAACTGTTCTTCAAGGAATCCAGTGGTGCAATCTTTCACCCTACCAAAATCCAAGCCAGCTTCTCTGGTGCTGCATTGGTTGCGTCCACAATAACTTGGCAGGATCCAGCTGACAACAGCAAAAACTTGAAAATAAAGGTGATCCCTTTGGCCTTTATGTGCTGCCTGTTCTTCTCATTAGCTCTTGTTTCATATTGGTTTGGTTGCTGCTAACTTGATGCTGGTAATCAATTATTTGTTGGACCTTCTCCTTAGTTTCAATAATAAATCATTTCTGTTCTACGTGGATTGCCATTTTATGCATAAGATTGTTCACTCTTTGACTAATAAAATCATCAAAGAAACTTCCATCATTTTGAAGATCTAATACTTAGCGCTGTAACCTGTAGTCGCCTAGCTTAGTGCTAAACCATATTTGCTTATGTGGCTCATCAGCTTCGTATGAATGACATATGTGGTTTTCATTTATATTCAGTACACATGCAGGTTAATTTAGTCTGGGTAAGTGTGTTCAAATGGAGAAGGTGCTATTTAATAATATATCTCTTAACCACTGATTAGGCTCTGTTTTAGGTGTACAAAAAGAGGTAAGTTTGACCAAGGCAAAAGAGATGGTTATTTAGCATGATGGTGACCTAACATGACATGTGGAGGGTGTATCATCCTTCGTTCATATCCAGTCCCCCACAACTTTTTCTACTAAATAGTTTTTGACTCAACCACCTTCACCTCTTTAAATTCCTAGGACTTCATCTTCCCTTCATCTGCTCCTTTTTTGAACTTAATCCACCCTTCCACCATCCTCTTTGTTTCTTCTTCTTTTATCATCTGATCTCTTCTTCGCCTTTGCTAATAGTCCTTGGCCTCCTCGTATTGCTTATACTAGCTTTTCCCAACTTCGTCATCCCTCATTTTTTATGTTATTTATTCTGTAGTAGATCTTCACGTACACTTGCTTATGCATCCACATAAAGCCAACTCACAGGGTGGCACCTTGACAAACCTTCATAGTTCCAATTAAACCTGTCATGAGTTTGTTGGTCAAGAAATGTCCCTTGACCCTGGTGTGGGATCAGTTCCACTATTGTTCGGAAAATTATTTCGCTTGAACATTGCTAATACTAGTATGAAAAATTAAAAATATATATGATGTGAAAATTATTTCACTTGACCCTGATGTGGGATCAGTTCCACTATTATTCAGAAAATTATTTCACTTGACCATTACTAATACTGGTATGAATTTAAAATTTTGTCGCCATGGATCATTGTGAGCAGGTTAAACTGTTGGAACTTTCACATCATTTTGTATGTCATTCGTGTGACTTTTATCGGCTAGATAATTTGAATCATGCAGACATTTTAGTGTACCTGTACATGATGAAACTCATTTTTCTACTCAATTTGTCTACATAGATACCTATGCAACACTTTATTATTCACATTTCATATCAATAATAATTACAAGATGCCCATAATTGCTTCTGTTAGTTTGTTTTTTCATTTCAGAGTCTTGTGTCTAAGAATGGTTGCATTTTAACATCAAGTATGGCTATCTAATTTTCTTTTCATCGTGTGTAAACGGGAAAAGTCATGAATTAACATTCAGCAAATTCATTTTGGTGGTGTGGTTGAGATTATTTTCTGACAAAATTGGATCCAAATCCCTTTTGCAGATAGTCAACTTTGGAAGCGATACTGTGAATTTGAAGATCTCTGTGAGTGGCCTAGAAGCTGGCATCAACTCATTAGGTGCCACAACTGTACTAACATCCGGTGATTTAATGGACGAAAACTCCTTTGATAAACCAAACAAGGTAATGATAAATGAAAATTCTATTCGGTACGCTTTGGAGATTTACATTCACCATTTTTTTTGTGGAACATTTTATCCATGTAATGAAGCTTCCGTTATTTCCAAGTTCCTCGATAAGAGTAGCACTCAATTTTCACTTTTGGATGCTTTGATACATCTTCTGCATGTTGAATTATGTAGGTCGTCCCAGCCTCAAGTAAGCTACCAAATACTGGAACGGAGATGGATGTTGCGATTTCGCCGCATTCCATTACTTCATTCGATTTGCCGCTGATCCCGATGGAATACAGATCTGCAATCTAAGCATTAGGGGATGAGAAGTGGCTGTAAAGCCTATGACATGGCTGAATGAATAAAGGGTTGTTTCATATGTGTGTGTGTATATATATATATATATATATATATATATGAACCAAATGGATGTGTTGTGTGCTAAGATGTGGATAATTAATTCTATCATCACATCGATTGGAAAAATAAGATATTCACGTGTGTTATTTACGACTATCATGTCTTTTTATGTCATAACATTTATTATATCGATGCATCCTGTTTAGTACGAGCGAGATATGTACTCGTTCAACTAGATATCGATAAGTGGACTATCTTCTATCGAGTGGTACTGATCACTTGATCTCGTATTGGGCGATACGAGATATGTACCGGGTAGTAATGATCGAAATTCAATAGTTACCAACCTCTATCGATCGATAATGATCAGATTTCGATTGGTATCGATCAAGGGTTGAGATTGTTCTATTTCAAACAGCTCATTTGATTGTTTGAGACTTAGAAAAGAATTTTAAAATCCTTTTCTCCCTCCTCTTTCAACTCATTTTATTATTTTAATCTTTTAAACTCTTTTAAACTTTTTTTCACTCACATCTCTCTTTTATTCTCAAGAGTAGCAGTATTTTATATATCACCTAAGATTTATATCATTGAGCTCAATGAGGTATTAGTCAAGTTTATACACGAAAGGGAAAGAGAGCTTATAGATGATTTTGAGTAGATATGACAAAGCTTACATGATATAGACACAGAGCGAGGCTTATTGTATTCACAATCATCGTATTATGGAGAATCTTACGATTAACAATAATATAATAATAGTTGGTCATACTTTTTTTAGCAATAGCACGATGATCAATCTTACAATACGGAATAACAGATCAATAGCAAAAATAAAAGTTCTAATATTCTCTATGCTCCGCATCAATACATGCTATATTTGTCATTGTCTCAAGAGCCACCTCGGATATATGTGATTTATGATAATTAGATTGATTATCACTATATTAATACATCAATACATGCATCGATATATTATGTCGTAGGATTAATTTCAAGATTGAGTTTGACAAACATATGATTATATATATATATATATATATAAAAGATCAAGGACCTTAGTCCACGAGTCTCATTATTCTTTTTAGTGGTAGAAATTGGTATATTCATCGATTGATTACTTAATTCATTTTAATCTTAAAATTTAAATTGTCTAAAAAATAATCTAATAATTCAAATAATTTTTTATATATAATTCAATATTAACATACAATAAAACTACTCTTCAAAGTTTGAAAAAGATATATGACATTATTCTATCCTAATTTATATTATTTTTACTAAAATTATATTTATTTATATCTTAAAAATCATAATCTATTTTTTATTTTTTTAAATATTTTGAGATTTTTTTTAATATTTTGGACGTATCAATAATATGCCCTAATGCATCGTCGGAACACCTCGATACAAACCGTACCAAGCCTTTTATCGAGCAAGGCTCAATACATCCATATGGATCGAAATTGTAATCCTGTGTTCTTATGAGGTGGTGTTTCTACTAATGTTAGACATTTTAAGGATCAAATTAAGGTAGGACATGCAATCTTCTCTTTCGATCCAGCATAAGAATCAAAATTTCTTCATGAGGAGTCATGCAGATATGAACAGGAAATAGAATAGGCATGCAGATTTAACAGCTCTCATGAGAGGGCAGAAGAGAGAAATGTGAGACATCAATATCCATCTCTCTCTCTCTCTAAAAAACTGAATCTCCACTTTTTTCTTGGATTAAATAAAGATTTAAAACAATCAAATAAGGTCTTAGATTTTGAATTAATTTGTCATCAATATATGATAGAACAACACTACATCGTATCCGAAATTAAATCGATCAATGATTTACAGTTTCGAATTAAACCAGAGTTGAATTCCGATTCCAAATCAAAACTGAAAGCAACAAAATATTAAATGGTATAACTAATCACATGATTCACAATAGTTTAGCAAATACTTTGTGCATTGCATGTTTCTCTAATATATTTTAGAAGCTAAAGAAATACTTAAAGCCACACTATGCTGGAACAGGAAGGATGAAACATGATTAACATTAACCAGCTAGAATTGAATCACCCGAATAAATCCCAGAGTTAATAAACTCTAAATATTAACATTCTGTACAACATGATACAATATTCAACTGCGGTAAGCAAGCATGCATCCAAGATTCAACCAAGCATGCTATTGAGAATTCAAAATACAAAGAACAAGGTTGAGATTTTTCTGTCAATGCAAAATGTATTCACTTACAAAGAACACAGCTTTCCCCATCGACCCTCTGCAACAACTAGGATCACTCAATGTCAGAAAAATAGGGTGAGACATCATTTAAATTCAACCTATAAAATACTGAAAGTTTATTTAGTGCCTCTAATCTGCATCCATCTCCTCCAGTGCAGCTTTCGCGGCTGTCTTGGCTTCCTCCAATAGATCATCTGGAACCTGTGATTGGAAAAAAATTGCATAGTTTGAGAATAGCAAAGATTTGCCGTGTCTTTTTTCTTTTTCTTTTTTCTTTGACCCCATCAAATCAAAGGGAGATAGCAAAAAAACAGAGGTTTATGTGGCAATTCTCACGTGATAGGCGTGATGTGAAAAAAATAAAACAAAGGGAAGAACTGGCACGAGAACTCAAAGAAACTCCTACCAAGGGTTCCTTTTTGGGCTTTTGAGAACTGCAAACAAGATTTTATCAGACTAGATGTGTTGACCAAGATTGAATTGTTCAGAAGACACTATAAATTAGAATTGTACAAACATATCCCTTCTTAAGAAGTAACTGCAAACAGAGATTTTATGGAACTATTCATGGTAACTTTGTGGAATTATGGTGTCAAACAAAGGAAAAAAATTCAAAATTGATGACAGCACACAAGTGATAGCAACTGGCTAGTAAACCCAAACCAGCAGATGGCAAAAACATTTAAACAAGCTAAAAACTGAAAATTGGATCTGTGAAATGAGAACTAATTTAGTTAAAGAAATCATTACATTGAGACATCACTTGGACCAAGTTTGCTGTTAATGTCATCATTTGCCTCTTTTAGACAGCACAGATAAATAACAGCGAACGATCCACGTAGACCAAGTTAACATATAGACGGACAACTTATGCAGCCAAGCAGGCTAGCCATCTTATATCTCAAGAATAGGAGACATCAGAATAACACCTGACAATCTGATTCCGATCCATCCACATATCAGAGAAGAAGATTATGAAATTATCTCAAAATTTGCATTTCTAAACAGGGTCTGCAGTACCGAACTGTATCGCTCGGTACGGGCGGTACGTACCGGTCCGAGTGCACTGTAGCAGTATAGCAGTGCTACAGTACTCAGCACACCTGAGTATACCGCTCGGTACACCTGGATGTACCGCTCGATATACCGCATCGTACCGGTACCGAGCCCAGGTCGAAACACCGGTACGGTACGGTATTACGAACCTTGTTTCTAAGGCAATAATAAAGCAGGAACAGTATTACCTTTAAATTTAGGAAAGTTTGTGGTGAAACTAATGATATTAAAAGATAGCCACCACAAAGCAGTAATTGAATCACAAAGATCATAATGTATTATCTATCATGTAGACCAGTCGAAAGTAAACAACAATCACCTTCTGATGTTGGCAGTTAGATTCATCACAGATCCAGCTCATTTCTAACTCAAATGCTTTATCTTTTGCCTCATCATGCACTCCATAAATTCTGCATGTAGGAACAACGAAAAGAAAGTGCAAATGTCAAGTTGTAAAGTTCCAAAAAACTATACATAGATGTATATATTGAACTTCAAAGCCCTCATTTAAAACATTAAGCTGCAAGATTTAATAATCATAAAACTTCTTCTCAAATCCTAAAGTATCAAAAGAATCAGATTCAGTATTTTTCAGCTGAATAACAACAAAAGCACTCAACTTTAATCCCAACATCTGGCAAATTTCTTTTTGGATCTAAGAACATAAATCATATGCAAAGCAAAATGATCAAAGGGAAGAACTGAAAGATTGCCATCCTTCCCTAGAAGCACTACTATGTCCATAGAGATTGAACAGTACTATGATCTTCAGTATTCTACATATCCAACAAAACAGAACCATCAAATTTAGTTCTCATATTTGATCTTTATAAATAAACCATGAGGCACGTAAACAACCTACCAAAGAACACAAACAGTTATATAAACTATAAAGTACAACCAGTAATTAGAGAGTAACTGATAATCATGACAGTGCAGAACAGTTTCTTTAGCAGAAGTTACAGATCTGACAAAACTAAAACATTAATGATTAATTTCCAACAGAAGGAAACATGACCATGATTTGCAAACTGAGCACAAATCCCTTTTCAAGGAAATCTAAACTTCAAAAACCACAGAACAAGAAAAACTGGAAAAGAAACAAGCAAAGTATAAATATGTTTTGCATGGATTGCATTACCGGTCTGTACCGGTATACCGACCAGTCATGTACCGAACTGTACCAAACATACCGACACACGGTACACTGGGTGTACCGATGTATCACCTGTACTGAGAGATATGCGTCGGTATGTTAATCCTTGATGTTTTGTCAAATGCTATCAGTGAATGTCGATATTGTTTTATTCTGATTCACTTATAATTTAATCTCATCAGCCATATTAATGACCACAGGAAAGCACACATTTTGCATTACAAAACCATCTAAAGTGTCATCCCTAACTAATGACTCACACTAGGACCCTTCTTTCAGCCTCCAAAATTGTGGGTTCGATGCACTATATGGCCCAGGATTTTAATAGCACACTAAAACACTCACACATGTACAACAACCCTGTGTTAGGATTTGGCTAAGGCATGAAAACTTGTACTTTCCTTTGTTTCCCTAGAGGAGTTTTCTCAGTGCACTCCAAAAAGGCTTGACAGCATGGGCATGGATACAATTATAACATTTGAATACAATGAAATACTACTATATACAAACTAATGATACATAATGCTGCATTAAGCAGAGCAAACAATATACATCGTACAAGTAATTCCAAATAATGGAGCAGATGGCCTAGTGAGAAAATGCAAACTTGTAAAAGATAATTTTCTGTAACTAATGAGATGAGAGAAGGCAACACATACTGTATAATGGTCTTCATGACATCAATTAGTTGGAG